GCAGAAACTAGTTCACTTTTTTTGTTAAGTAGTAATCGACTATCAAAAGTCATAATAAAATATTTTTCATTGATGCAAAGGTAACACTTTTTTGCAGATGGGTTATTAGATTGGCATCTTTTAATTATATTCAACTTAATTATAGGCATGTTACCTGTGTCTTTATGTTTCTAGATTTCCTTGGAAAGTTCCGTATCATTCCTATACCTGGTTGCATTAAATGATTTAAGGTGGTTTGCAAATCTAAGCTTGAATGTGTTTTCACTAATTCCGATGTAGGATTTTTCTGTAAGACTGGGATTAGGTGATTGTAAAGTGGCTTTATATACAACATTTTTTGATAGCCATTGGTTATTTAATGGGCATGTGGTTTATATCATTATTTATATCATTAGAGGTGAGTTTGTTGCACAAAATTTGTTGGTTGTGTGAATTAATAATTGATCGAATATTTGGCATACAGCTGTAACTAATTTTTATTGTGTTTCTGTTGAATATTTTGTGGAGCTTATGATGTAATGGAAAATGCAAGTCTTAAATTAAATTTAAGAAAAGGTGTCCAATTTTTGTTACCTCATTTTTACTGTAAGGAGGATTAAACCATATAATATTTCTTTTTTGTTCATTAGTAATAGAAGGATTTAGATTTAAATGATATTGGAGATTGGTGTGAAATCCAGACTTTTCTAATGCGTCTTTATAAATAGGAGCAGTCTTTTGGAAATTTTTTTTGCTTGAAGATAATTGGAAGATAATCGATGTCCAATTGAGGTTGGTAATTGTTTTAAAATGCTTGGTGGATGGTTGGAATTAGCATGGATATAATTTAACGTTTATGGTAAGGTTGAAAAGTATTGTTATTAGGATTAAATGTAACATTAAAGTAATTGAAAATTTTCATATTAGATTGAATGGAAATACTGAGGTTGTTATGTTTAAATATTTGAGTAAAATGCTTCTTAATTTTTTCCATTTTTGGACCACTTGCGTTTTTAAACATGGCTAAGCCATCGTCTCTATATAATCTAAAATCTGGTTTTTTATAAAATTGTGAAATCTGGATGAGAAGAAAAATACCAACTAACTTGCACACCTCCGCTCCATCAAATGCAGCAAATGTAACATCAAACAAACCGCTTGATTTTTTGATCCAAACTTAGTCATTGATAAATAATAAAGACTTAAGCGTGTGGAGAACTAAAGATTTATGGTCAGCATCAATGGAAATGTATTGTTTTGCAAAGTTTATTGAGTCTATAAGTAGCTTCTCATTAATAGAAGGGTAAGAGTCAACGATGTCAAAAATAAGGAATTTATAAAAATGTTTGTCATTGGTGATTTTGAACCAATTTATTACATTTTGTGAGCTATTCCACTGATTTAATTGCAAAATATTTCTTAGGTTGGTGTTAATATCTGATAAAATATGTTTACTTATTCTACCAACTTCATTTTTAGCTTGGTTAATTAGACGAACAGTAGGATTATTTTAAAAATTAGGTTTATGGTCTTTTAATGTAATGAAACAATTGGAAGAACTGTTTATATTGATTTTGTTAAAAACATCATGATTTTTCAGAATAATTTTTCCTTCTTTATTAATGCAATCTTTTATTATAGGGTTGATTTTTTTATAATTAGATGTAGTTTTTATAATAAGATGCATTCATTAACAACTTATTATATTCGTCTTTTGATAACTTATATAAATTTGATATTTTATCTGCATAAGTGTAAGTATACGTTGAGTTTCGAATAGAAGAAATGTCTTTTTTTAATAAATTTTGGAAGCTACATCGAACCATCCTAAACTGTATGTTTTTAATTAATTTGAATAAATCGCATTCAAACGCACGCATATCTTTAATTTATTGTGGATAATGTGGTATGTTAATACCATAAGAATTAAAACTAATGTTATTATTACTATTATTAATAATATCATCCATACCATTAGACTGGTTATTCATAAAGAAAAATGCCTTTCATCTCATCTTTTTAATTAATATCTCAGTTCTTCCAAGCAATTGCAATTTGTATTCTTTATTTAAAGGTATAGGTATATTTTTTATTGAATATATATATGTATATATATATATATATATACATATATATATATATATATATATATATATATATATATATATATATATATATATATATATATATATATATATATATATATATATATATATATATATATATATATATATATATTCTGATGGCTTTTTTATTTTATGTTTATCAAATATAAACATTCTTTATGTGAAATATTTTCAAAGTATACTAGATTTTATTATATTGTTATGATAAATCGCTATTCGCCAGACTGCCGGGATAAATGTTGTGTTACTTATAATATGGTTTTGGTACTCAGGTCCATTTCTATCATAATAGCCAAATTCAGCAGATACTTAAAAATGCAAATTTTTAGTCCCAAATGCAACAACCCTTTGGTAAGTGTTTTTAAATGCTTACAAATTTAATATGAAATAAAACTATGGGTCTGATTTCCTCAATAACTATTTTACAAAGCTAATTGTTCCCAACATCCTATCAGGGACTAAAATATATAACTGTAAAATTATTTGATTCTTAACAACCAATTAAAAATAAGAATCAAAAAATCCTAACTTATAGATATTAATAACTGAAAGGTTTGAATATTTTACTCCAACTTTTATTACTGGCCTGGGCACAAACCAGGGACCCCATGAGTGAGAAACAAAAATATAAGTGACTATTTTAGTTTTTTGTATCTGACACATTGAATCGGGTCAGAATGTCTGTGGTTTTTACTGATACAATAGTAAAATTCTATTAGTGGTTGATAAATATTACCTGTGTGCTTTTTTTGAGATTTTTTTTAACTTTCACTTTATCTTCGAAAATGTCACCACACTTTAACAATCTATTTCTTGTGTTTTTTTTTGCATAGTTTGACGCAATTACAAATATATTTTTGATTAAAAAAATAGTGGCTTAGATGAACTCCTTGGCAAGGTGTCTTTGAACTGTGCAGGCACTATCATCCACACTAAAAAGCTATATATACGATATATACATCATCATAAAATAGAAACCAAAGAATGTATTTAACTTATTTTTCATTTATGAGAAAAATTTCTTTTTAAATCTTATATATTAAAATGTCAACACGATTGGTGTGTCTGCAACAAGTTCGTTGTTGTTGTTGGAAGCAATTTGGATTAAATACAGTTTTTACATCAAACACACAATTTTGTGAAAGTGTTAATGAAATTATATGTTTCTATGATGTGCAAAACTAAAACTAAAAGGCTTTATGTGCAAAGTATTGTTTTAGTATTGGAGAGGGTTTTCCACACCTCTGTTTAAAAGAAATACCTATTTCGATTCTTATAAGTTTACTTTTATCTTGTTATCTTGTTTGCCTTCAAACAGAACAGGTTGAAGCATGAATACTGAAAGAAAAACAGAAAGGCAAATAGCATCTAGATCTAACTTTTATATGTCCGTTTGAAGAAAATACTGTAAAAGTTAGCACACGTAAAAACAAAATTGCTGGGTAAGTTATTTGTTCAAATTATTAAAGAACTGCAAACTGTTTTAGAACTTGCAGTTTGATGTTCCGCTGATCCTATTTTTTTTACTAAAAAAACATATTATAAGATTTCTAGAAAATGTAGTAAGAGATCATCATCAAACATCTTTGAAAATTAAATTAAATTGAAGAATCTTAATTTATCTCAAATCAATAAATCTAGCAATTTATTGATTGTAGACAAGGGAGTATATTGAGTATTGACTAATTGATTTTTTTAGTAACTATATATTTTTTTAAAAATATTTGTTATTTAGATTGAGTTTAGTTTGGGACCAAATGAGTTCTTTATAAAGATGTTGTATTTTTCAGAGACTTGTGAAATTTTATTTTAAATATAATGCAACAGCATAAAATTTTTATTTTAAGAGATCATTCTTGATAACTATTGTAACTATGATATGAAAGCTTGTAACTATGCTATGAAAGGAATAATATAAGCTCATGAAGATTTTGAAACAGTGGAGTCTAAAGATGCCAGGTATATGGAAAACAGTTGTTTCAGAATCCAGTTAGAACCCATGACTTGTTTAAAAAAAATTTAATTAAATGAAAATTCAATTCTAGATAATCTTTGATTAAAGTTTTTGGTCTCATCTTATGCTGGTTTAGTAATATGTCTTTGATGAGAAGCAAATGAATCTAAATTTTCCTAACTCTGGAATCTTAGATTTTTGGTTCTCTAAACATGCTGATACTGGATTTAACAAGAATGTGAATAATAAATCCCAGACTTCTTCCTAAATTTTCTTAGTAGAGGATCCCAAAACTATTCTACATTAACTTATAGCTTCAAGAGAACTGTACCTTACGATAGGATTTGTATTATTACTAAAAGCTCTTTTTTTAGATCTATGACCTGATTTCAATGAGTGATTGAGCTCTAAAAATATTCTTTAGAGAGGTTGCCCTACCATATTTGGTAGGGCAACAACTAAAATGCTAATATTAAACAGTTTTTGATATACTTACTATCATCTCACTTCCTTTGTTGAATAACTTAACAACTTTAGATCTGTTAAAAATACTTGTTTATTTAATTTTTGATAAAATTTAAGTTTCTCGTTGTAAAATTATGTAATTCCATTTATCAAGTATCATAGATGTATTTTTGGAAGATATGCTGATCAATGTGGTGAAGCATTACATGCTATGTAAAAGAAAGACATTCATAATGAAAAATCTTAGCAGCTGTTGAAAATTTTGGAGGAAGTAGAATAACTTTTTTTTTAATTGTTATACTAAACCAAAGTTTATTTGGGTTATACAACTTTTTTCCTGGCTATCTAAATGAGGAATAGTGATACTTGTAAACTAAATTTCATTTTAATAATATTTTTTAATTAGTAGTATTTAGAATGTATTAAATATATCTTTTTTTAAGAATTGTTCATTTTGAAGAACGACTGAAAGCACTTTGCTATAAAAAAACATTTACTGAAAGGATATCTGAGATTAAACCAAAAATTCAATGTAAGATTTATTATTATGATTCTTTTAGATGTAAGATTTATTATTATGATTCTTTTAAAAGTATATTTTAATTTAAAATATTATACATTTTATACAATTTAAAATACTATCATCATCATCATTATCATCATCATCATCATTTTCATTTTTATTGCTGTCATCATCACCAACCAAAAGCTAATTGATTGTTTCTATGTATTGTATAGGAAAAACTCAAAATGTTTAAACATGAAGTAAATAAATTATATAAAAATATACATTAAAACTTGAGTTGAGATTTTAAAAGAAGTTGCAGAGATGTGGTAACCTCTTTGTGGTGTCTTTTAAAACCTTCAATTATTTCAAGTGTAACATATAGTATGGTGATCAAAACTTTTACCTGGATATGATATGATATGATTTTAAAAATTTTAAAAATAATAGTTTCTTATCTAAATTGCACCATTAAAACAGTATTGTAAAAATTAATTAGTGATTGCAAAGTAGCAAAATTGATCATGTTTAATATATATTTTGATTAATGCGTTTATTCAACCATTTAGAATTTCACCTAGATATATTATGATATAAATAACATGCAGTAGCTAGATCTTCAATATCTCTGAAAGTAAATAAAAATTTCCAGTGGGTTTTTTCTAACAGAGTTTTTGAAATGGTAGATTTTATTTTATACAACAGCTTGTGTTTCAATATTAGCTAACTAGTTGACCAGACCTGTAAATATACGGGTCTTTGTAAGTCTATTCCACACTGATCTTTTCTATACTTTTTCTATATATATATATATATATATATATATATATATATATATATATATATATATATATATATATATATATATATGTATATATATATATATATATATATATATATATATATATATATATATATATATATATATATATATATATATATATATATATATATATATATATATATATATATATATATATATATATATATGTATATATATATATATATATATATATATATATATATATATATATATATATATATATATATATATATATATATATATATATATATATATATATATATATATATATATAGAAAAAGTATAGAAAAGATCAGTGTGGAATAGATGTGGAATAGAAAGTATAGAAAAGATCAGTGTGCACCTTTTCAGTATATATAGAGTTTATAAGAGATTTATAAAATGTTTTTCTCCTAAATGCATATCTTAGATGGCTCAGTGGTTCAGTGTGCTGTCATTAGGGTTGTTTTGGGTGTCTTCCTCTAAATGTAATAAATTTTGAAATTTTTTACAATTTTGCCATATATATTTATAGCAAACAAATATATAAAGCAAAAAAACTTCTCATTGTTAAAATAAAATTTTGAAGTTTTCTCATATTATGCATATATTATACACAATTGTTCAATGTACGCCCGGCAAACTCGACTTATGCTAAAGACATTTACTCTTACAAATGTTTGCACGCTGTACAAATGGGGGAACTAAGAAGATGACATAATTTTAGCAAACAAAAATTATCAAAAAAGGGGAAAGTCATGACAATTCTAAAATTGAAGTTTCAAATTTTCCACTTGAATGAGACAATATGTTTTATGTTTTTTCAATTTTTTCAATTTTTTTAAATACAATATCATAAATGCAAAAATAAAAAATAAAACAGTTTAAGAAAAAAAGACTTGTAATTATTAGAAAATTTTCCTTATATTACACACAATCCAGTTATATAACGTCATATACAACACTATATAGGTGGATTTTTTATATTTGTATATAACATTTGTTTATATATACACTGTTTATATGTAGGTGCATTTTTATTGTACTCAATTTTTTTAATTTGGGCATATATATTTAAAGTAAAAGAAATAGATATAGGAAAAAAAAAACTTTTAATTAAATTTTATTTTAAATATAATTAAGTTTTTGCTAGCTATGGGCTTTTTTTTTTTTTCTTTTTCTCTGTTGCAGCACCTTCTGAATTAGCAGGGTAGGCTTATTAAATTTATTCTTTATTAAGTTTCAGACCATAATTTTTTTCAGACCATCTGCTGCTTATTAGGTCTAGTTACCTTATATAATATCTTTATTTACATATCTATAGAACTTCAAAAATGTTTTATTTATATATTTTGAAAAATTGAAAAGTTGAAAAAGATTTGACCAACAAAAAAAAAGTGCTAAGAGCTAACTGCTTTGGCCACAAAGGCATATTGCTCGATAAAACTTTTAACACTATTTAATAAACAAAAGACTTTATAAAATGGTATTTAAATGCTATAAATCAAATTTAAAAAGATATTGCCGCAATACAATTTTCAATTAAAAGTAAAGGGTAATAACAAGAAAGAGTTTTTTTTTCTCTTATACAAAATAGTGCTCCGACTCTTTCTTGTACCCTGGTTGCAATGGCTGCCAAGAGTTCTGTGTCAAACACGCTCGAATGAGCATTAAGTGAAGCATTATATAATATGATAGTCTTTCTTTAATTTTTTTGGTACTAAAAATAGAAAAAAATATCTAATCTATGTAGTTTGTTCTTAGGGTGTAAGGTGTTGTTTGTAATAAGTATATGCAGAGAAAAGGAGCATTCTCAAAGGTCATGATGCTAATGTGTATGTATGTGTATGTATATGTGTATGTATGTATGTATGCATGTATGTATGTATGTATGTATGTATGTATGTATGTATGTATGTATGTATGTATGTATGTATGTATGTATTTATGTATGCTGTAGTGTAGGGGTGTCCAAAAAACAAAGTTTTCAAAACGCAAACATGAAATTTTTGAGAAAAAATAAGCAAGAGTCACAAAAAATGATAGTTATAATTCAGGGATTGTCTTTTTCCGGATATTTCCGGAATTCCTGATATTTTTCTTAACTTTGAGTTTTTCCAGATATCCAAAACATTTTCAATACATACAAGTTTAGGTTTATATTTTTGTAATATATTTGTTTTTTAAGCTTTTTCACTCATCACTTATACAAAACTAAGAAAAGTTAAAAAAAAAGTTTGAAACAACTCAGCTAAAAGCAAAATTAGGAGGAAAATATATTCCGGATATTATATCCAAACAATTTTTCCGATTTTTAAAATATGGTCTGGATGATCTATGTATAATTGCAATTAGTAGTGAGAAACTATTTAAAAGTGGTAAAGAAAAGCGAAATACAAAATAAAAAAAACTCATTCTATTATTGAGAAAGTCAAACCAGCAATACAATAAGAGATATTATTTTTGGTTATGTTGCCTTAATTCCTACAGTTGCTGATATTTTTCCCAATTTTTTGACAAAGGTTACTGCTGCAATCCTTGATAGTTATTGCTTTGATTTCAAAAATGTAAGTAGCAGCAGGTCAAAGATGAAACAAACAGCTTAAGAAGTGGCAGTTACTGCTAAAGAAGATGACAAACTTAGCATCCAAGCTTCTCCCTACCCATGCGTCATTTATTTAGGTTGAAAAAAACTTTTCGAACTCAATAAAAAACTAAAACCCTGTTCTGCAACCATTGATAAGGAGTCATATCTTCTTGGTGTTAGGCCATAAGCATTCTCATCTAAAAAAAAATCAGTACAATGGAGTGATGAAATTTCTAAAAGAGTACAGTCTTAAATCAAAGATTGGATTACATTGTTTTGGTACAACATCAAGCAATACAGGTATACATAAAAGATCTTTAATAAGAATATCTACTGCACTAGATAAGTATCTAATTCTTTTAGCTATTTACAAATGTATGTAGGGTTTTGTTTCCAACCTTTTTTTAAAACAAGTATCACACTTTTTTTTTCATTAAATTTTAGAAAATAGTTAACTGAAATGATCATTTTGCTTTAAGAGGATAATTATGAGTTAAAGTAAACTTTTTCAATATTAACTAAAAAAATTTTATCTCATTTTGATACCATGATTTTGAAATTGTTTACTTTGCGATATGTGATTTTTTTTTCAATCTATTAACTCTATTTAAAAAGAAAATATATTTCAATAATTTTGTATATTAAATGCCCACTGTGGGCCAGAGTGACTGCAAGGTTAAGTTGTTCCCCAGGTCAGATTTTTTTCAATAGTTAGGTATACATTAGTAGACACCATTTATAACATTTATAACTTCTGGGGTGTTGGAATTTCCAAATAAAAAAATTACGGCGAAAAAATCAAAAAATAGCTATAACTTATCACTGTGGACCTGAGTGACTGCCAGATTAAAATGTTCCCCATATCTTTTTTTTTTTTCAACAGTTGGGTATACAGTATTAGACATTTTTTATAACATTTAAAATTTCTGGGGTGTTGAAAAAAATTTCAAAAAAAAAAAATTAAGAAAAAAATATCAAAAAATAGTTAAAACTTATCCTAAATAAATAAAAGTAAAAAATAAAAAAGCTTTATGTTAATTAGTTATATTACAAGTCTAAATGCTATAAATAATATACTTTACAACACATACTTGAAACTATAATCATTAAATTAAATTATATAATTATTTAATGTTTTTTGATTCAAACTCAACAACACTGGATTTTAGCTGTTTTGCATAATCTATATGGTTAACTCTTCGTTTGTATATATTCCATGTTTTTTTGAACACATGATGAATAGCTTCTCCTGTTTGCTCACAGTAAACTTCTAGGCCGCGGTCAGTCGAATGAAGAAAAGGAAGTATATGACATACTACTATGTAAACTTTTCATGTAACACTGAGCTTGATATCCTCGAATGTGGCATGCACATACTCAATCAAATCTGCATAGAACTTTTTAAACTCTAGAACAGCGATGCTGATTTTATCCCTGCTACCATACCAAATGCTTCTGCTTGAAGGCATTTAAACTTTCTGAGAAACTTTACTATTAGTAATAAGTCATATTTTCCAATGTTTATAATATCTCTTTCAAGTATATTCACCAACTTCAGGAACTTGTTTGCATTGTTTCCATCAAGTCCTACGCCTTGGTATTCTCGAAACATGATGTAATTTGATTGTAACCACTTCTCAAAAAAGGCCATACACTAACCCGAAGTACTGCAAGTTTACTTACTATTCCCATTAGAATATTGATACCAGGCTCTAGAGTGCAGCATCCCTCACAATATAAACAATGGTATTTCCCAGCGTAACTACTAATTCCGCACACTGAATTTGCACATTTAAGATCAAATGCAAGGTAAAACTTTACATCATTTAAATTCAGAGGCTCAATAAGCTTCCAAAGATTATTGTTAGCTTCAGAAACCCCCTCAACAATTGCTATAAGAAAGGATCTCTTTACTCCAGCTTTTTTTAGCTCTGAATCTGAAAAAGTTTTTTTCCATTTTTACAATAAATATTTTTAATCCAGGGGATTAAAAATATTTATTGTAACTTTAAGGAATCCCTGACCTGAATCCATAGCTATTCTCAATATGGAGTCATGTGGGTCTATTCTTCTTTCTGTAATGACGTGCTGTATAAGTGATGTGCCTTTTACATGAACCAATGTTCTAGTAATGACTTCACCATTTATTAAATCTATTTCTTTAGAAGTGTAAAATTCATCTATATGGTTATGGAGAGCCTCAATTTTTTCAAAGATGTTTGCTTCAATGCAAGTTTGAGTTCCCATACTAGATCTATATTTGGAACAAAAATTCTTTGCTTGATTTTTTGAAAGCTCAAGAGATTTAACCAACTCCATAACAGTACCAAAGGACACCTGTTTCAGCTCAATTCGGTTCGTTTTTTTGTCAGGAGTTCCAACCACAATGTTCAAAGGAGACCCTTGAGTAGCCAGCTGAAACTTCTGTCCTCTACAAATATTTTCAGCTTCCATCTTGTGCTCAAGTATACCTGGCAACATACATTAATAAAATATGTTTGTTATTTGGAATTTTGAAATATGCATCTATATTAAAAAATAATTAATATACTTGCTTTAGGCTACCCGTTCTGAATATTTAGGTCCAAGCTGTTCTGCTGCTACAATGAGATTGTTAACAGCTTTGCTCTCTGCACAGATATGAACTACTCCTTGCACTAAATATTTTTGTTTGAAAACAAATAAACAAAAATCTTAAGTATTTTATTAAGTACAATAAATTTTGTTACGTGAAGCATTATAAACATGAAAAAATAAAACAACAATAATAATTAAGTTCTAACCTTCAAAACCAAAGCATGTTGAACATAGTCTAGAGGACTTGGAACATTCAGAATCATTAGAGGCATTAATTTCATCAACAATGTCATTGATATTTGATGATCTTCTAAGATGCAATCTATCAATCTCAATTAATGGAAAAAATATTGGTCAGTAAGTGATATTATTTTAGCATACTAAATGAAATTTTAGTCTATTCACACTTTGTACGCTTAAAGTTTAACTATATATACTATATAATTAAATTTTAAGCTTACATTTTAAACAGTGAACAAATAGTTAATAAATAAATAGCAAATAGTTGTTTATCTTATACAATACGCATGTTTTATATATGTGTTTTGTATAACTTCTATGTATATACTACATATATACACATTATACTCAAATACCTCAATGCATGTCATACTTACACTAAGTATATGTATATACATATACTTATAGTGCTGTTTATATAATGTAAAAAGTTATATATATTTTAAGTCTACGCATACAATAGAAAAACATATATTTTTTATAACACATGTATTAATACATGTATATGTATAATAACATGTATTAAAAAAGATTAAATTCTATATTTTTAGTTTAGAAACTATGTGATAGTAAATAAAACAAAGTATTAATTAGAAAGTAATAATAATTATTATATATAAAAAAACAGATTAGCATGAATTTTACCTTGGATATCTTCTCTATCCAGTTCCCTAGGTACTCCTTTTTGTTTCTGTCGAGATCATAGAGGTTTCTGTGGCAGTTGTTACAAATAACCTTGGGATAGTTGGTTACATCTAAAATATACTGGCTCCAGACAAAAGTTTTTATCTTTGTTTTAATTGCTGGAGTAATCTTTTGAATTTTAGATGACTTTTTACCAAACTGAGTAAAACAAACAGCACACATTTTATGTAAATAGTCCGCCATTTTATACACAATTTAGTAATGTCATGGACTTTCAACCGACTTTTCAACTAATTTATTAAAATTTTTATAGCTTAAAATAAATATTTTTAAGCAAATTTTTTTTTGACTTAGTCCAATCACTCAGAAGTTTTTAATGGCATAAATAATGCCTACTAATGTATACCCAACTATTAAAAAAAAATCAGATCTGGAAAACATTTTAACCTGGTGGTCACTCTGGTCCACAGTGTGCCGTAAATGGAGAAATGAATTTCAACAAATCAAAATAGTTTTACAAAAAACTTAACCCACCACGTCCCTGGTAGTACTGCGCTCAACTCATTTCTCCGCGCAGCGGCCTTGTTCGTCAAGGTTCGTGTTTCGGAGTTATAGAGTTGAGAGAGGGTTATAGCCACAAATAAGTAGCCTCCTCGTCTGTAGTGGCCTTCTCGGCCTTGAGGAGGTGAATTAAATAAAAAAAAAAAAAAAAATTTATTTAAATCTATATCTTCCTCAAGTTTTCTTTGCTTGAAAATTTTTAAATGCATTTTATTTTTTTAACTATCTTCCTCACAAAGATATTTATTTCTTATCTAATATATTTTTACTTGCTTTTTTTTTCCTAAATTGTATATTTTAATTTTTCAGGTATTGTATCTGCTTGTAGGCAACTTTCACGAAGTAAAAGGCTTTGCACTTTGCTAGAAATTATCTTGTGTTTAGGCAATTATATGAATAAAGGAAGTAGATCAAATGCATCTGGTGCGTTTCTGTGTTCATTAAATAAAAATATTTTCAAACTTTTATTAGTTATTGAAATAAATGTGAATATTTTAAAAATAGTTATTGATCTTATATTGTGTACTCATAGGTTTCAAAGTCATAAGCTTGAATAAAATTATAGATACAAAGTCAAGCTTAGATAAAAGAATAACATTATTGCATTATATAGTGGATTTATTAAGTAAAAAGGTATGTTTAATAGTTTTTAATTTTTTTTTTTTGTTTTATATAATATATGGTGGACTTATATAAAAAGATGTTTTTTTTTTCCTTCTGTATTTGCTCTAATAGTTTTTTTATATTTTAATGAAAAACTATAAAATTTATTTTTACTCAATTAATAACCATTAATATTGTTAATGGTTATTAATTGAGTAAAAATTTATAGTTTTTAAAATATATACTAATACTAATAAATTAATTTTTTTTTAATTTAAAAGCCTTAAAATTAGATTTAAGTTCATTATTTTTATGCCATATTAACAAAACAGAAAAAAAAAATGAAAAAAAAAACCTAAAAATTTAAATGTTTTCGGTTGATATTGTAAACTTTAATTTAAGTAAAATATTTCAGTTTCTTGATATATTATAATGCAATTTATTTTTATAAAGTTTCTCCTATTATATTTAATTGCAAACTCTTGCATATCAATGTGGTAGTGGAGTAGTTACCAAACTTGTCTTCTAAGCAAGTTAACTCTACCATATCTCCTTATGTTTTTATGACACATGACTTATTTCATTGTTCAAATCTACTTGCTTGAACAGTCTCTTTAGAAAAAGAAAATTTAAAAAATATGAGTAGTCTCTTAAAAAGTATTCAAAATACATATTACAAAGTAATAACCTATCCATTATGCTATACTTTTTTTTCTAAATAATTAAATGAAAAGTATTGAAAAGTTGATTTTCAAGCTGAAATACCATGAAAAATCAGAAAGATTCAAAAATGGTAAAAAATAATATCGATTTATGTTTTCTATTTTTAAAAAACTATTTAAATAATTTTCATTTTTACTATAACATTTGAACTTACAAAACTCAAACGTCTATTGCTTATAAATATCACAAATTGTTGGTATTACTATATTGATGAATGCAAACATTCTGATTACTCTACTTTATGTCTCATCAGATTATCATTCCTTACTGACCTCTTTTTAGGTTGCCCCTCTTCATCATCTTTGTCATTTAGTTACTTTAGATTTCATTCTCCATTCTTTATAAATCTCTTGTCAATCTTTTTATGAAGTACTGACGTCATATTTAGGCTGGTTCTTTTATTGATTCTTTAAGAGGTCCAAAAACAATAATAATGATAGCAATAATAATTGAAATTGTAATTATAGTAATAGTAATAACAATTATATGCACAAAGTTAGAAAGGTACAAACAGTTAAAAACTGATAAAAAGTAATAATTAACAATAAAAAAAACATAAAACAATTCTATTAGTTAAAAACAATAGATAAAAATAATATTAATAATAATAATAATAAAAGTAACAATAGCAAAAATTAGTAAAATAATAAAAATAATATGATTAATTTAAAACCTCAATATTGTAAATGTAAAATGATGGATCAAATAATACCATGATGCTGTTCACGCTGGTTTTCTTTTTTTGTTCCACTGACCACCACACAATAACTTGCATAACTTATTATTTAGCAGAGTTACAACATTTTACTCTTAATATATCCATCTTTACCACTTGGGTCAGTTTCATATATAGTTTATTGCTTGTGTAGACTATTGAATGTTATATATTACATACACATTTACTGTTATTGATCTTTTTTATGCGTAATTTCTCAAACAAACATAATTTAGAATCTTTATTAATAATATAAATTAGTCTAATGAGCTTTTGATTCATGTTTTAATATGTTTTATTTAAATCTTTAGTTTCCACAAGTATATAATCTTGAAGAAGAATTATATGATGTCAAAAATGTTATTAAATATAAGTGAGTTATAAATTGTTTTGATACTTTTAAAATAATAATTATTTTAATACTTTTGAATAATGTGTTACACTTTTTCTTGTTTAGTATTCCAGAACTTAATATAGATTTGAAGTTGTTAAAGAACGGTTTTCTAGATTTGCAAAAGGTTTATTTTGTTTTCATTTTGCCAATAAATAGAATTTAATATTTTCCTCATTTTTGTGATATACTTCTTTTTAGTAATAAAGATAATAAGAAAATATCTGACTTTTTCCACTCATACAATCACAAATAAATAGATTTGCATAAAAGTATTATTGGTAGTTCAGCAGGACCAGGTCTGTGACATTCTGTCAACAGTAGAAAAAAAATACATTAAAAAAAATTGCTTTAAGAGCTAAAAAAACTAACATATATGCCTTTTTTGCATGCGTAGAGCATATAAGAGATTTAGAAAAATGGTTTGCTTTTCTTTTACATGAATAATTTTGATAATTCAGTGGTTTAGTGTGCTGTCATTGATATTGTTTTGTGAAGGTTTAAATCTGCCCCTTAATACAAAATGTTTTCAATTTTTTCAATCTGGTCGTATATATATATATATATATATATATATATATATATATATATATATATATATATATATATATATATATATATATATATGTATGTATATATATATATATATATATATATATATATATATATATATATATATATATATATATATATATATATATATATATATATATATATATTTTAATTAAGTTTCAGACCATAATTTTACTTGAGCTAATTACCTGATTACATTAACAACATAAGTATTTCTATCATGATACATGCCCAACATTAGAAATTTTAATATTTTTTAAAAATTCTCCCCATTTCGTTTGTTATAGTATATAATATCTTTATGTATGTATATAATATCCAAAGAACTTCAAAAATGTTTTAAGTTTGTATTTTTTCTTAAAAATTGAAAAAAATTGGAAAAAAAAAAGTGTCATTGCAAGGATTTGAACCTCAATGATGCACATTAGAAATGCTGTGAGCTAACCACAGTGGCCATTAAGGTGTCTTGTACGACAAATTTTTTAATAGTAATTAACAAACAAAAGGCTTTATATAACAGCATATAACTGCTATAAATAAAAATTTAGGAGATATTGCCACAATCGAATTTTCAAGTAAAAGTTAAACTGTAAAATTTGATAAACTGTAAAATTTGATCTTTGAACAGTACACAACTTGAAGTTAACATAAGTTAGCTATTTGGATACACTTTTGTTCAGATTTTCTTATAAAAAAAAGTGCTGCGACTCTTTCTTGCCACTAGCTCGGTTGCAATGGCTGCCAAGAATTCTGTGTCAAACATGCTTGAAAGGGCACTATACTATTTTTTTGTATGGATTGAATTGAATTATTGATTGAATTATTAATTGAATTAAATTATTGATTGAATTATTTTTTGACAGTTTAAAAATGACATTAAGAAAGTTTACAGTTTTTAAGTTGGTTTTCATTGTTAGTTTTAAATTAAACTTCTTCTCAAAAAGATAAACAATGTTTTTCTTGATTCTCTCTTGAGGTACATTATAAGTCAGTTATAGCTGTCTTTCTAACATCGCCAGTATTATTAATTATTTTTTAATTCACACAATAAAAAAATATTATCTAATTTTTCCAAAACAATCTTTCTAACTGCCAACAAGCTTTATAATGACAAGCTTCATAATGTCAATCTTGTACTTGCAATCTTTCAAAGATTTACCCTTCAAAGGCCTACCGTTAAAATTGTTAGAAATCCATTAAGCTTTTACTATGATACAAATGTCATATCTGAAACTTAAAATTAACATAAATTTAAAAGTTCTAGATATTGATAGTTCAATGAAACAACATAATGAAACATATTTTACAAAAAGTCTGATTTACAACTAACACTAGAGGTAGATCTGTTCTGGATGCAGTACGCTGTAAAATCATCCCATGTTGCAAATTATATCCAAAAACGCTTGAGCTTGCTGCATAGATATTTTTAATAGCACACTCAACTGCCTGAGAATGATAGAATATGTCAAAAATGAAATCAAATTGATGATGTTAAATATTTTCATTCTCAATAGCTGCTAGCAATGTTTGAAGTGTGAGATCAGCTGTACTCCAGTCAAGCATATCAACGTAAGTCAAAACATTGGCATTAAGTTTGATGCTTAATCAAAAGCACGCACTGAAAAACTACCAAATTACTTCTCAAATGAATTATTTTATCACAACAGAAATGTCGCACAGATTCATCATTTTCACAAACACCAGAAATAAGAATGTTTTTAAAGTGGGCAAAGTGTTGTTTTGCAACACAAGTTTCAATATTCTCTTCTGCTCTAACCTCATGACACTGCTTCAACAAGTGAAAAAAGTTCTTTGCTCCATCAGCACAAGAAAGATGACTCTTGATGTTGAACCATGAAGGAGCATAAACGTTTATGATAAAGTGTATAATTTTGTAGTGTGTTGGGGAGACCTCTTTTGACATATACAATCTAAAAATTCTGTTTGCATTTGTCAGCCAATTAGCATGACTTAAACTTCCTGACAATGTGTTACAATGTGTTACAATGTGTTGTAACTTTTCTTAGCATAGCTTTAAACTTTGCAATTGGAAAATACTTGGGATCAAAGTCTAGTACACTTAAAATTGCACCACTGGAATTACTAGGACCACTTGTACATTCTCCATCAATAGCAGAAATGTATTTCCGAAATGGTAGTTCATTACTCTTTGGTGCTTAATACAATAAGTAGAGGGAGGGAGGGGAAGAGGTAGGAATAAAATATAATAAAATTCATTATAATTTCAATACAATTTAATATGCTAATATAAATTTTATACTACAGTGAAAAATAAACAAAAATCTGATTTTTGACAAATGAACTTTTACAAGATTTATTAAAGGTCAATAATTTTTAAAGGCTGATTACACTGAAATTTTTTTTTTATCAGTTACTGATATATATACTTTTTGATTTTTTTTTTTTTTAGTTTTGAGATGTCGTTTTTTGTTGATAACAATTAAAAGTTATGAAACAGGGGGAGGGGGTCTTAATAAACTTAAAGTGGGTGGGAAAAGTTTCTAAAAGTTATTAAATGTCCTGTTTAATAAGTACCTAAGAGTAACATCCAATAGGCAAACAAGCTATTGCAGTGGTCTTGCAATGCCTTCCCCTAATTTTCAATTTACACCATTTCTATTGCCTCTATTGTTTACTGTGTTGCCACAAACAACTACTTGTAGCCTATTTGCTGAATTTGTATTTGCAACTATTGATATTATCTCATTTGCAACATTAGCTCCTTTACCTGTTTATGGCTCTACATGATCAATGTAGTTGTTGTTTGGATATGATACAATAACATAATTCTTCCTTTATGCTCATACACCCTATTTCTTAATAAGTTTTGTCTTGTTTCTCATCAAATCCAATACAAACTAATTCTTGCATCTAGGTGGAATGCTTAGAAACCTAATTCCGCTGTCAAAAACTTCTCTGGCTTTTAAATTTTGCAGGATCTATTGCAGTTTCTTTTAGCACTGCATTCATTACTAATCCAAAGCTTTGCACAATTCTGGATATTGCTTCATGATTCTTGCTGCTACAACACCATTATCAGATTTACCACCGAATATTTCACCATCTAGAACTTCATTGTTTGTTTTTAGTTACAGTTCTACATCATCACTACCATCATCTTCAGCATCATCATCACTCATGTTGCTGTAGATGTAATTCACTTTTGTCTTGTATTTCATTTTCCTTATTGTGCTCAAAGGAAGTTGATTTTTTTTCATAAATGCAGACCAGAATGGAGTGTTTAATCACAGCTCTTGAGCTAACAAATGCCATTCATTAATACTCAATACAATGGAAATTAACTTGTATAACTAACAACAGATGAAAAGTAGCAAAGATTGATAATTAACAAGTAATGGAAATAAATTTACAATATGTTAGGACTACTTTTGTTTGAGTTATGGTTAGGTATAATTAATTTATGGTTACTTAGATTTGTCTAATATCATTTCATGTACCACTGGATGCAATATTAACAAATCTTAACAAACACATACAAGAATATGGCTTCAAAAAATTGAAATACTTTTTCACATTTTTTCATAATTTCAACTAAGCGTTGCAGGTACTTACTGAGCTTAAATTTTAAAAACTTATGGTCCCTTGATGTTGGACTAATAGGATAACTTTTTATGCTATAGCTAAAAAAAAATATTTTATTTATTACCCACCCTAATATTTATAAAAACATACATACATCATACATACATACATACATACATACATACATACATACATACATACATACATACATACATACATACATACATACATACATACATACATACAAACATATTTAAACATAGAAAAAACAATTTTTCTATGATACTTAAAGTTTCATGCTTATATTGCAATCATTGCAATCATCACCCATTAAATACAAAAAATTATATTAATATAATGCGATGTATACTTAATTAAAATTATTGCAATCTATACTTTAACTTTAAATTTCAACTCTATACACTTAATTTTTACGCAACAGTATTATGTTGTATTTACTGTATTATTGCCTGTATCATATTGTAACAAAAGTCAAAATCCAGGGACATTAAACTTTGCAATCTTTGTCATTTTCATTAAATTGATCATATTTAAAGTTTCAGCTCATAAGGGCACGTGTAACAGGTTTACGTTGAATTTGTTGATTTTTCAATTTTTCATACTTTTTATGGAAAATACTGCATATTAAATAAACACAAATAAAGGAAAAAATTATTGAAAACTTAGTAGTCTGGAAAAAAAAGGATTTTTAATTTGCTAACAAATGAATTTATTTAAATTATAACAATTACAAACCATTGTTGCAGAGATACATAATATCAGTTTGTCTAATTCTTATTTTGTTATTTTTTGGTTGATTTTTTTCAGATTTTTTTTTTTTTAGATTTTTTTATCACAACTACCATTTTTTTGGTAATATTAGCAGGCATCTTCTTTTTCTCCTCCCTTGCTACAAGTATTTCATTTTGCTTTTAATTTTCATATTTACTTGCAAAGATACCTTGAATAAAGCAGTGCTGTTAGCTTGTA